TATATATATATATATATATATATATAGAGAGAGAGAGAGAGAGAGAGAGAGAGTTTCTCAGTATTAGTTCCCTAACTGTAAAATAATCTGACTTCTAATTTTGTATTTTATTTCAGTAATTAAGTCCATTGTTTCTTGTATTTTTCATTTTGTTTTGTTTTGTGCTTTAAGGTGAATGAATCATATCAAAAAGTATAGATTATCTAGGTAGACTTGAGGGACACACTATATGTTGAGCAGTAAGACACCCAAAAGAGGAGAGGCTGGCCTGGAGTGCTAAAGGCACCTGTCTGTTTACCTGTACAATTTAGAAAAAGAATTTGTGTTTATCCTTATTTGCTAGTTTGAAGAGGCTATGTTCCCTGTTTTTGTTAAATTCCTAAAAAGATACTGAAACTTGAATGAAATACAGAAATGACTAATCATATTTATCCTAAGCAAAAACTACATCTCATTAAGTCATTGGTGATAATTTGTTGCTCTTAGCACTAGAAAAAGCACATGTCAAACTTTGTACACTGTCACTGAAATGTTAAAACTGGGGGGAAGTTTCTTCTTTCTCTCTGTGAATAACCTTCCTTTTCTGAATAAATACAGATAGTAATAAATCCATTATAAAGCAGGCTACTTTAAGACAAAGATTCGCTCTTGCCAGCATATTGCTAATGCTATAAATGTGATGTTATATAAACAACTTGATGTCTCATTTTGTACAAGTCGAGTTCTGTCCAGAATCAAAACTCCATTTGTTGGTTTGAGGTTTGTTTATACATTAGCTTTCAAGAATCACTCTGAAACTATTTTATTTAAGCCAAAAAAGAGGCAGTAGGAAAGCAAAGAAACTCCCCAAAGAGGTGGGTTTTATGCAGTGCTGGGTTGGATCTTGATATTTCAGCTCTCTAGTCACTTAGCAAAGCCCAGGGCAATCTGCAACTAACAGTATGCCCTTGATAAGCATACCTGAATATATATGTTTCCAAGTATACATTTGCATATAATAACTTCATTAAATATTACATGCAAATAGCTTTTTTCACTATCTTTTTAATTTAAAAAATCCAAGTTAAGAGGTGGCAATACTGAATCTTTGGTTCTTTGACTTTGCTACAAATTGTTCTCCGCTGACAATTTCTGACAATGGAAAATACATTTTGGGATTGCATAGGGAAGTAGGAAGTATGTCTGTGATTTGAAAAGAGTAATATTGATAAATCAAGTGGTTGTCTGCATCCCTCTGATTTTATGCTGTAAGAAATTAGTCACCCCCACTCCCAGCTTTCATTTATATATACAGTACTGTATTTAGTTAGGTCCCATGTTTTAAGTGTGGAACAAGTTGTAAGCATTGTATTGTAGCACTCATCATATTTCCAAAATGGTGTCTGCAGCAGGTTTAAAACAGAGGGTATATTTGTATTGTGCATAACTGATTTATTGTTTGATCTTCATTCCATGACATGGATATCACTATTGATATACCATAGCTCTAAAGAATACAGGTAGTCCTCAGTTAACAATGGTAATTGGGACTGGCAACTTCATTGCTAAGCGATGCGGTCATAAAACAATGTCACATGACTGCACCGACTTACAACAGCAGGTCCATCAGTTTCAGTTGCTGACATTAAGTGAATCCTGCACGGTCATTAGGTGCAATGTCACATGATCACCATTTGCAATCTCCTCTGGCTTCCCCATTGACTTTGCTTGTTGGAAGGCAGCAGTGAAGGTCGCAAATGCTGATCATGTGACCACAGAACACTGAGATGTTGTAATTGTGAGACAGTTGCCAAGTGCTCAAATTGCAATCATGTGACTGCAGGGATACTGCAACAGCTGCAACTACAAGGACTGGTTGTAAATTGCCCTCGTTCAGTGCCGTCGTAACTTCGAACGGTCGCTGAACAAGTGGTCACTAAGCAAGGACTACTTGTAGTAGGAATTACTGAAATGGAATGTAGGCTGTTGTAGGAACACTCAGAAGATGGTTATCCTGCCATCTGGTATTTCATATCTCCTGCAGTAGAGGTCCACTTAGGCCCTAAAATTAGGTTAAGGGCCCTTGTTCTCTATACCATTCTCCCAAGCCATGAATTAAATAACACTGACAGACAAGGTCTTTTAAAAGGTAGTACCTTGGTTCTAAAATCAGTGAATTTGCACTCTCTTGTTTTTTGTTTTTATACTTGGAACTGAAAATGTTTTTATTCTGAAAGAATGTCAATCTTTGTCTTACTAACAGGAATCTAGGAGACAGAGACTGTGTTTTGTGAAGCTGATGAGTGCCCTTAACATGAAATGTAAATGTACATGTAAATAAGTAACTGTGAATTCAATCCTGTGCATTATCCAGAGCAGAGTCCTATTACATAGTGGGCTTTACCTCTGAGTAGACTCATTCAAGTTTACTATTATTTAAGAATAAAGGCAGAACAGTTTTATATCTGTAATTATATTCTTATATAATTATATATGATTAATCCATATGCTATTAATTTCTTGGTGGTCCTAAACTGGAATGGTTCAAATGAACAGGTGCTTGAAAGGTACTCTTACCCCAGATATCAAAGACCAGATTCAAGAAATGTATAATTTATCCATTTTTGAAAAAGCTATTCTTCTATTAAACAAAAATGGCACAATATGTTTCCCTTGGGTATAGCTTTTATAACATTTTACAAGAATATACATTTTTATGCACCATTTGATACATTGTTATTAAATGATTATATGAATATGTGCTACTTTTTTCTGTTTGTTTTACTTTATTTTTTATTTTGGAATTAAAACTTCATAATTAATTTGCTGGTGTGTACATATATACATATACATATAGATGTTTCCTTTTAATTTGTTTTTATATATTTTTCTCTGTATTTCTTTTTAAGAATATAATATAAATATAATTATACAATTAATATTACAAATATAAATATTTTATACATACATGTTATATAAAGAATATATAAAGAATATTAAAAAATCAAATGAACACTATTGAATTAGAATAAGGGCTTACTTTAAGTTTAGTCTTAGGGAGCTTAGAAAGATCATTCATCTTTTCAGGTTGTAAGGCACCATCAAGCAAAATTGCAGAAATTAAAAAAAAAAATAGATAAGTAAATAGATTTTGTCATTGGATTCCTTCCTTCCTTCCTTCCTTCCTTCCTTCCTTCCTTCCTTCCTTCCTTCCTTC